GTTAACTAGATGACAAACGCGGATTGAAATTTTTTAAAAAGTTTGGGGTATTGAGAGAATTGAACCTTATCATTAAACTAACAAAGATTTAAGTGAGATTAAGCTAGCAAATATTTACAAAGATTTACATGAGATTTTCTTGTATAAATTTAATTATTTAATAAAAATGTTATTAAGGATTTTGTCATGTCATATTAAATGTGTTGCCATGTAATCATTTATTTGGAAAGAGTGATTTTGGAGTTGACATATAAACAAACTCCAAAAACTCATTTTCTAAATAATATATAAGGGATTAGAATATGTTTTTTTTCTCACCACTATTACGTGTCTTATCAAATAGGAAAATTGGCAATTATAACTAAGAAAAAAAAGATAACCTAATAGCTAACCAAAACACCCTTATGTGGCAAAACTATAGCCATTAGATTTAGGTGTTTTGGTTAGATATTATGTTTTATTTTTTTTTTGATTATTTTTGCAAATGATCCTACCAAATATATGTGGCTTAATTTGTTTTCAAAAGCATTTCTTTGAATAGGAGTTGGCAATGTACCTATATGTGTTTCTTTTTTCTTTTCTGTCTCTATCATCATTCTAAAATATTTAATCAGACAACTACGCTATATTTAGCGACATGATAAAGATATCAACAAGATTACAGTGATAAGAACGTAGTTTTAAAATCTATGTGACCAAAAAAATTAAATATATATGAATAGTAGGTTATATATAAAAATACCGGCATGGTGCTCGAAAGTTAGTCTATTCAAAATTATTCTTGAGCTTATAGAATAGTGAACAATTATCTTCCACTTTGTTCCCTTGTTGGTACACGTTTTAATAGGATTCTTCAGCTTCCACTAAGTAATATACGAAAAATGAAACATATTTTTTTTTGCTAAATAAAAATGAAACATATTTTTAGTCTATAAAAGTTTAAGTTTTTCTTTATCAAAGAAAAAGGAAAAGGGAAAATTGTTAGTGTGTGGATTCCACATCATCTAAAACACATACTAAGAGAAGGGAGAAAAAGTTGTCTAATTGCAAATATGAAAAACAATGCAAGTCGGATTAGATTCCGAAAATGGGTCGGAGACGCAGAGACAAATTTAAAAAGTTGTGTTGCAACTTGAACTCATTGATGTTATAAAACACTCAGATTATATATGTATTTTTACGTACGTAGAGAGGTTGATCTTGATGATTCAAAACTATTTTTAAAAGGTTTCAAATTCCAAATTTAAATCATAAAAGAATCGTTCTGATAAAAAAAAATCATAAAAGAATCGACATAAAAGTTAAAAAAGATGAGAGTTCATGCATAAGGTAAATAGTCAATGACGTTGATGAACTGAAAATACTATAAAAGAGCAGACGAATGCCAACGTCGCCAGAGAAAGGAGGTGATGCCAGACAAACGGTAGGGAGAAGAGATATGACTGTCCTCGGGGAAGGAACCTGAGAGCTTTTCTCTCCCCTGTTTTTCTTCAAGGTAGTTGAAGATGCAATATTTTTTGGAATTGAAATTGCAAATAGAGATGGTCTTCACGATGTTGAAGCTGCAAAATACTATGTTAGAAGCTTGTAGAAGCTAGAAGGAAAAATGAAAAATATGAAGAAATGGAATTCAAGAGACAATGACAAAAAGAATGTGTTTAGGAAAAGGAAATTATAAAAAAAATGTTTCAATATATGTATAAATAGAGACCGCTGGTCTCTTTAGAAAATTAGAGATTAAGAGTTTGAGTTTTCTAGAGGCAAAAGGGTTTTGGGTGTTCCTTGTAAGGAAAACAAATGGGGGAGATAAGATTTATTTTAGAGAAATACTTGTAAGTTCTCTATCTTGGTTTCTTCCAACTTCATAGCTGATTTGACCCAATTGAACACTAAGAAACAACCCAAAGAGGCAAACGATCGGGATCAGAATACTGAGTGGAGAAGTACATTCAATTTCCCTTCCAACGATCGGAATATTGAGTGGAGAAGCACACTCAACTGTCCTTGAACTCGAATGATGATAGGTTTAGATGGGATGGTGAGTACTGCCGCAATGATGAAGAAAACAGAAAAAAATTCCTTTTTAGTAACGGTAAGCGACCAGAATAACGGAGATTTGGAGAAGCAATGAACCGTAAGAAACAAAGCCACCCTCTTCTTCTCCGGCACAAACTTCTTCTGCGATTTCTCGACGGAAAATACCATATTAGTTTTTTGTTGTAAGACAAGATACACATACAAAGAAGACGACCCACTGTGATATTTTTTCTTCCGTCTGCATCATCCCAAATCCCGCATAAAGAAACCCATCCAAGATTGCAATGTCTTCTTCACATTGGTATCTTGCTTCGTTGACTCCAGCACATAATTGCATGTAGCACAATAATGATGTAAGGCAAAGACAAGAGGGTGAGTCATGTGTTCATTTTGGGTGCATTTGTGAGAGCTTAGACTCACATATTAGAGTTTAGCATTCATGAATTTGCTAAAAATGTAAAATGTAAATTTATATACAACATAAGCAAAAGTTATTCATTTAAACCAAAATTCTATAATAAACATCTATTATAAATTCATGGTTACGTGTATTAATTATCGAAATCTTAATGTCTACGCTAGTTGCAGATAAAAAACCCTAGTATTAATAATAGCATAAGTATAAATGTTTGTATCCTAAAGTGATTTCTCTCTTTATCTTTACTGGACAAAAGACTTTAAACTTTTGTTTGTCAAATATCGACCAAGGATCTTCGTTTCACTTCCCACGTAATTATATTCGATAAAAACAAAATGAAAAAATCTGATCATGAATGAAGAGTACAAGATAAACCACATTACATATCAGTAGATTTTTAAAAAATCTTCAAGTATCCCTGGTACATTTGCCAGAGATCCATTCTCATGAATGATTTTGTTTTTAAGGACTTGAGTCCAAAGTCCCATCACAGTTAGGTTATGAAGAAGATGCCTATTCATCACACACTTCAAGTCTTTGTGGTTGTAGATGTTTGATTTATATTGCTCTCGTTCGCCAGCAAAGAAAAAGTGGGAAGATTCAAGAAGAATCAAAGAAAACTTTCACGAGGCTCTCTAGCTTTGGGGTTTTGTTGCTCTGATCTTAATCGGGCATTTCTTCCTGAATTTCCATGTCTACATCATTCTGTGCAGTTTATGAATTGGTTTGAGTATTGCGTTTTTCCTTTCAACGATGATTCTCTTGATGCCCTTAAAAAACAACATTACATACTTGTCTATCTTAGTCTCAATTCCCACACAATTCTACACGATAAAAACAAGATTAAAAACTCTGGGAGTGAGTTATTCATGAGATCTTGATCTTCTCCTATCTTCATTGAAGCTCCGAGAAAGTTGAAGACAAAGTAACAGCCGAACGAAGCTCCGGATATGAGGATCGAGTGGATATACTTCTGTCGAAAATTAGCGCAGGACCCAAAGGGACTAACAGAATCATCAAGATTACGAAGATGAATCTGGTAAACCAACTCTCTTCATGGTTAAGCCTTGTGTAGTAATCGGATGCTACGAAGAACTGGAACGTGAATGCAAGAGCCAAGAACCCCCAAAACCTCGCAGTTGTAATCACACGTAGAACAAATTTTTCGATATACCTGGAACCATTATTTCCGCCGAGCCGACACTGTCGCTGTTACCGGTAACGTTGTAACGAAGAAGAGTAAGTGACCCAGAAAGAAAAGAGTAGAAAACAGTCGCCATCATTATCGGAAAGAAAAGTAAACGATTGAGAGAGAATGATGAGAGAAAGAAGAGAATCGAAAAAATACCCTCCGATTTCTCGATGGAAGAAGAAATACCCTCTTCCAACTTCATTGAAGTTTTGATCCTATTGAACAAAAGAACACCCGAAAAGAGGCAAAATATCTGAGG